CAATTTAACTTGTGTTGTTCAGTAAATTACCCAAAATATTCAAGCGACACGCAGGAGGGCGGGGGGTGGAAGAAGATTTGTGCGAGCGCGTGGGGTGAAAAACGAGGTGCATTCCTGGAAAGGGTCGGAAAAAGCTTATGCTGGGTGGGTCGCGGATGTGAAAAATTGCGCGTGTTTAGCGTAAAATTGGGACACTTTTTGGGGTGCACCGCCACAAATGTGAGACGGGGTGCGTATGACCGATGCCCCGAAAAGCAACAAAAAAAAAAAAAAAAAAAAAAAAACCAGCTGCTAACTGGCGCTTAGGCAGAGGGAAAAAGGTATACGCGTACAAGGGAGGGAGGAGAGGGACTGCAATTACTCGGCGCGTCAACGCAACATCCGGTGATGCTGCGGCGCAATTAATTGTCGCAGTAGTCGTCGGCTGGAGGTACACACCGGCGGGTATTATTTGCGCGGTGGGTCTCCCTTTCTCCGGCCCGACAAGACAAATATCCAGGAGGAGGACTAATGCAGCGCGATTTTCGCGTCCCGCGGCTATATAATACACGCTACTGGCGCGCGCGCACAAGACCGGGACAAGTGGTGTAAAAGCGGGAGCAGCTTGCTCGAGTTGAGGACTTTGGAACGCTGCAGTCTCGTTCCGTGTATACCTCTTTGGGCTGGCGCAGGACGCATAATAAGGGGATTATCCCGCAAAACGGATTATGCTAAGTGCGATGAGCCTACTGCACTCCATTATACCGTGGTGCGCTCTTGTTGGTTAGCAGCGCGACCGTGACTTTGTTGCGGGCCGTTGTGCGCTTCGGGGTGGCGGATCTCTGCTACTTTATCCATTTGAAACTCCCCTAATCACGCAACACCGGCTCCGTGGATTAATTTGCGTCCCGTGGATTGTTTGTTGCCTGAAACAACGCCATCTCACCCGTACATCTATAACTTTGGCTTTCTGCGTACACCCGATTGTTTATATATATAAAAACAAGAACAAAACATTACTGAAACAAAAATCATCAATGGCCGATACGCGTATCCCAAAACTAATTTGGGAGCTTTCGGTCAAGTTCGCTATTGAATAGCCAGTGGCATTTTCAACACAGTCACCTCCAGTGCGAATTTACACCAGAGCGACCAAACTTTTTTTTTTCCCCTCCGAGTATCGATAAATATAACTCGGCTCGGTAGAGAATATCGCGTCGATTGAGGGGGTTAATATATTTCTGACGGCGTGTACTTTTTGGCAGCGAAAAGAAAGCAAGATAATGGCTTCAAGGTTTCCCGATTCTCGGGCATATTTCTCTCGGGCTCCGGGGCTAATAAAAATAATCCCGTGAAAAGTGGCGCAATAAATATACGAGACTTCTATCAAAAAAAAAAAAAAGGAAAGGGGGGAGGGTACCTCACGCGGTGTATACTGCGGCACTCGGGAGTACGCCAACCTTACTATAGGCGCATTTACTTTAAGAATAGTGGCAAAGGTGTATATATGTATATAAATGTACTCACTTATATAGTGCCGAATTCCCTAAATACCGTGACTTTTTTTCTTTCCCCATCGCCGAGTGGCAGTGTACATCTTACAGGCAAGGGAGTCGGGGGAAGATCCGGGAGCGATAAGAAGGGCCATTAAAGTGTCGTCTTTGCCCTTACTTTCCTGGTACTTACACCTAAACAACTACGGCTACTGTATAGTCCCCGTTGGGAGCAAAGCGGGCGGATTAATGGAGATTTATTTATAGGTCGTCAACGACATCGGAGCCGACATTGTTCGCGCGCTCGCACGACCTATCGCGTGACTTTCCTATTCCTCTATACCCACATGTATACATATACGAGCCGTTTTTTTTTTTTGTTTTTCGCGAGTTTCTCCGCATTCGCGGATATTCGTGTGCACAAAGGGTCGTGTGTATAGAGTCGAGAGTTTTTAAATCCATGCATATACAGGCGCAAGAGCTCTGCTGTAAAATCAGGAATAAAATAAAATCAACACCTTAGACGGAGACCAAGTGATCTCTATCCAAAGGTTCTTTGTTCGTCGCTCCATTCGTTGAATACCAAAAAACAAATGTACATTCAAATAAAACAAATATTTACTTCAATCAAATAATAATACATTAAATCAAACGCATGATTTATTGATAACGTAATACTTAAATAAATACTTGTTTCGTGCAACGAATGATTGAATTCTATATAATTTATTGGTACATTTAATATATAATTTGTTTGTATTGGCGTATAAACGTTTATCTCAGTTTTTTTGAATTAAACAAATTTTTTTTTTTCAGCAAATACTGCAGTTGTATGAAAATAAACAACAGAGTGTATGACTTGTGTATAGGTGTAAAGTATACGAATCGAAAGACTGAATAATGGTGTCTGGGGAGTAGAGGCGCGAGACAGCCCTGCAAATCTCATTGGCAGGCGCCAGGGTGTGTGGGGGGGGGTCGATTTTCCCCGAGAAAACAATAAATTCGCTCGCCAAATGACGTTTGAATAATCCAGGCCACGGTATACCACTCGTTATAGCCTCGAGGCCCTCTTATACTCGGTGAACTTTGTTGCATCCTCGTCGTCGCCAGTCTCGAATACATGAATTCTCGACGAAGCAGCCCAGGGCGGGTAAGCCCCCAACAAAAGTAATAAATGCACTTGCCCCTCATCTTTTTAATACATCCATTTTCCGTGGCACTGCCGATAACTCGATACGGCGCGCGCGTGCATACGCGGATGAGAGAAAAAAAAAAAAAGAAAAGAAGCACCTGCTCGGGATGCCCCCGCCTTCTCCAGATTTACCCATCAGAAACTCATTTTCCGCTTGCCATGACGTCTCGTTTCCTTTTTTTTTTTTTTTTTCCACTCGTCGGATACAATAATAACAACAATGATAACAAGGCTCTCCTCGATTATTCCTTATCAATACGCACATTGGTACACCAATTCAGCATAGGCGCACTCCTGATTTGTATACACACGCGGGGGGGGGGCGATATCTGCCCTCCTCAACTTCTAATAGCCTTAACACGAAGGGGGGAGGAGAAGGAGGTTAGGGGGGGGTTCAATTTTCCCTTGTATTTCTTTTCTTCGTGCCACGCGCAGCGGCTCTTAGGGAAAAGCTCGCTCTTCTTCGATTTCTCGCTCCCGGACCTTTTTTTTTTTTTTCCTCCAGCTCCCCTCTTCCTTATCTGCGCGCTCCGATTTCCACGGATTTGCCCTTTCCCGGGGCACGGCCGAGAGCTGCTTTTTGCCCCATCGCCTTCTGCTTCCCTTCCTCTTCCTCCTTAACGCTGGGTAGATTTTTTTTCCTTTTTCGATTTTGTTGCCTCCCTCCTTTATTTCCTTTTTTTCTTTTTTCTTGTTTTGCTCGCGACAATCAGACTCCGGAAAGCAATTAGAATTTTGCCAATAATACCTTTGCCTTTGATGGAAATGGAATTGATCGCGGATCCATTGCTCTGGTATTGTCTTCGCGAGTTTTACACCCTGGCACCTTTCGTCGGCCAAAGGCAATGGAGTTTTTAATTTATTCCTCCGAAAGGATATCGAGCGCGGAAAATAAAATGAAAAAAGTAAAAAAACACGTCGCAGTTTTGCCCGACACGGTATGTGCAAATTTCAGAATTGGGAAAAGTAGTAGTAGAAGAGAGAGAGAGAGAGAGAAGAGGGGCAATAACGAAATTCAAAGGGAGAAACGTCGAGTCAATTCGGAGGGATGTTTTCATCGTTGAGTCAATAGCTACCCTCCCCCGCTCGGACCCTCCCTTTTCATCTCAGCGTCCCTCTGGAGTATACACTGCAAAGGACGAAGGGATGCCCATCGTATGCTCTTCTTTATGTAAATTTCCTTTGAATGTCTCCCTCTGCACTTCTCCAAAAGCTTTCCGATATCGGGGACTCCATACATACACATACCCCCGTGTACCTATAAATTTGGATGGAGAAGGGTGTTGTAAAAAGAAAAATCAAGGCGCTACGACTTTTGCCGTCGCTTTTTGTATCCTGCAGCTTAGCTACACATGAAATTAAAAGGGGAAAAAATCTCGCGCCGAATCTCCATCCTCCTCCTCGAGTATCCATCAAAATGAAAATCCACACTGCGCCCATTAGCATCGGATATTACTACGAACCCTTTTCCTCCAAAAGTGGGCTTTACCGAAGGTCTCGCTTCGATATTCATGAACAAACTCGACTTTCGAAGGGGAAAAACCAAATTCATCGTCCTCGGCCCCATTTTTAGATATAAATCACAGGTATAAGTATATATACCTATCGATTGTACAATGGCCCTTCATAAAAGGATTTTACGCGCTCAATCGGCTTGTATAGGTATTCGTATAAAGCTATCGGAGGATTCAAATGTCGTGGCCTCAAACTCCTTCAGTGTTTATTTTTCCTCCGCCCGACGCATTGGGATGCGTTTCAGCGTGACGTGACGCCGTACACAATGAAACAACCGTATAGGCAAGCCTGCACGTATATATACCCATTCGAGGCGCGCACAATGAACTATGAATAAACTATGCCGCAGCTTAGAGGGGGAGTATACAGCGCGTGCGGAATATTTCGTTGACGGCGGTCCGTTAGGACGCACAATACGCGAGAGACCAGCAGCAACAATATATACATATATATATATAAACTGTTGTACATTAGAAGGAGCAAGGATTTGGGAGGAGGGGGGCCCCAAAGCTGCGGAAACTTTGAGTGGATAAATAGACAGCGGGCCGGGGGGTGGGCGGATCTTGATGGCCGGTCGCTGCCGTTGTTGGGTGGGAAAAATAATTCGCATAGCTGGGCGTCAGTTTAGCTTCGCGTGCCGTGGAATTTAAACTGCTGCATAATATATAACGCAACGTTTTGCGCCGTACCTCTCGGCACGCAATTTTGAGCATTGACGAGCTTTGCGTCGGACTTACAATCATTATATCGATGATTATTTAACTTTGCTTTGAGTATAACACATGTTATTTATTTTTTTTTTTCTTCTTTTCTTTTTCCAGGTCTCAAGGAGTACAGGGATACTGTCGCACTTTGTCAATCTGAACATTGTGACGCCAGAAGCGTTCATACTCGGCGGGGACGAGCACCACGTCGACGTTGGATCTATAATAAGCCTCGTCTGTATTATAGAAAAGGTAAGGGTAAAGCCAAAAAAAAAAAAAAAAATCTACTTGAAATTCAAGCTCCGATGTACAACAGCCACATCTGGCAACGTATACGGTATCGCATAGCTGATGCGTATCGAGAGATAGAGAGAAATCGAGATAAATAGAGAAAACATGTCGAATGATCGAAGGGAGGGCAAGGCCGTATTAGAGTACACGCACCACGGCTCCTCAAAAGCCTTAATTACATTTCTGAGCCATACGTATACGTATATACATGTACAACGCACATATGAATAGCAATATATGGTTGGGGCACTGCCGCATTTATGAATGATAGTACACAGCCTCTGCACTGCCGACTGTACGGAAGACTCGCTAGGAAATCACCTCTCGAAGCGTGCCATCATCGCGTTCCATGAATACCTACCTACATCAGGGTCTATAGACTTTGCAAGAACTGCACACGGGGCGCCTACGTACAGGTTTACGTGGGGTTCGGTTAGCAGGTGGAGGGGAAAAAAAAAAAAAAATGAGAGCCGACATCGCCCGATGAATGAGCGCGAGTAGAATTTTCAAAGCTCGCTTTTCAGCCCGAGACTCGTTGAGTGTGCCGTATATATATGCACGGGCTCCGAAGTGCACGCGTATATATATATATATGTATACGCGACCAGCTTGTATTATGCACATTCGGCGAGAGCGAGAAAAAAAAAGGGGAGGAGGCAGGCAACTCTTGACCTGGTAATCCTCCCGGCGTTTGTTCGCCCCCTCCCCCATGCCCCCTAATCCCTGCTCCACTCCCAGGCATGAGAATACTGTATGAACCTGCTCTACCCGCTGTTGTTGTACCCTATACTCCTCTTGGTTCCATCGTCCCGTGAGATGGCGAAACAAAAGTGAGATACAAATACGCTGATGATGATGATGATGATGAAAGCCTTCGGATACATTGAACCGTACATTTACGTACGAGCGCGAAGATTTTTTTTTGTTCCCTTGTGTTACAGCCGCGTCCTCGTTGGTATACACCGAGCAAATCGGCAATGTACGCGGTATATACGTGTATTTCCTAAGGGGTAGGTATATTTACAACCCTTGCAAAGTACGGCTTTTAATTTTAAACGTTTAACGGGGTGAGGGGGGGAGGCGTCATATTTAATATGCACCCGGTGGTGGGGGGGGGGGGTAAAACGAATCGCAAATAATAATAATTAAGCGCACGCGATACGTGGAGCAGATTAGGGTGGGTGTGTGCACGCGTGGCCACGCACGTATATATATCACGCGGAGTCGAGGCCATGGGAGTAACGTGTATACGCAAGGAATAAGGTGACACTGATTGGCATATCAATCGCGATGCTTGTCGGGAGATATATATTATGTATATGGGGGACTCTCGTGTCCCACTTTTGGCCCCCTCGCACAAAATGGAAGAAAGAGTCCCGGAGCTATAGCGCCCCTCCGTGGCAGTAGGAAATAGCCGGCGCGCATGTCGAGCGAATTAACGTCACCCCCTTTGTGAGGAGGCTCGCGTGAGAGAGGTGGTGCGCCCGTCGAGTGTCCATGGAACTCCTTCATATTCGGCGGAGCCGCTTCCTATAATTACATCGACGAGCCATATCGGCTTCTCTCTCGCGTCTTACTTTCACACCTCGGCGCTTTTTCCTCCACGCGCCGATTTTCTCTTCCTACCCCCCTGTCCCACACATACGTACATTCCGCGCTCGCGAATACTCCTTCCTCCTCCTCCTCCTGGTACGCGAGGGTTTGTTCTTGTAATATTATACTCGAAGATAAATTTCGAAACGACCATTTGGTTTTTTTTTTTTTATTTCTTTCTCTCTAACTCCAACTGGATGAATCGTTGTCGTTTCCCGTGCCCGAATCCCTGCCTCTTCGAAACGGTCATTAGAGTAGATCTTCATCGATCGGTACGTATAGCCGCGTATAATACACGAAAGACGATCGAGCCTTGGCGGAATTAGTAACGAGTTTCGTGTAGCTGCGACTCGATCGGGGTGTACACAGTATTGGTGGGCGATTTGTATCTCTCCACCCTCGCAAGTATATATCACATATATGTATATATATAGGAGCGCGCGGTGGCTCGGTCGGCTAGGTCGTGGATTGGGACGCGGGAGGAGAGACCGTGGTTCGATTCCCGGCCAGTGCGACTTTTCGAGCAAGTACCTCTGTGATTTTTCGTATGTGCTTTTTCACCACGCAATGCTCCTCGAGGAGGGTTTTAGGCGACCTTCTCGCAGCAAAAATTGCCTAATTTCCCCCTACCCCGTCCCAATAATGGGAGGCCTTCCATCCCTTTCCTTGTCCCTTTCCCAAGTGCTAAGTGCCCATAGTAGTGCCCTTATTAAAGGAGCCGGACGTAGAGCACTATAATATAAAAAAAAAAAAAAAAAAATGTATATATATATAGGTACGGCCATCCGTCTGCCTTTTGGGCGTCCGCAGCGATCGGTGTAATCGCCGTGAGATTATGCGAACGAGGTACACCCATACCCGTGGCTCATCGCCGATGTACCTACACAGCCCCCCTAGAGCGTGGCTATACTTTTTCACGCTCGAAGCATCATGAAATAAGTATATTTATTCATGCACGAGTATATACCTATTGTGTGTATTATCGTCACTGTCGGCCAAAGCTCATTATAATCGCAGTGGGTGTGCAGTGCTGCTCTTGAACTTTTAACCATGCCCATAATATGGATAATTCAAGCCTCTTTGCCTCCCCACGTATAGGTACACACACTCAACTCGAATATGTAACTTGTTGCTACCGAGGGCTGTGTGTACTACTCGCATAATGAGTCAAACGACGCGTGTATACACACGCTAAGCTCCTTACGATTTATTCCTCTGGTCCGCGGAGCTTTTGAACCAAAGAGGAGCTTATAAGCTTCGGGGCTTGTTACATCTGGATCATGTATGCGTATTATTATTATTATTATTATGTACACGTGAACCGGACACGAAGCTGCTTTGACGGACAATAAACACGGAGGTTTGAAAAAACGGGGGTTTGTTGAAACAGTGCATATATACACAGGTAGAGCTTTATCGCCCGGTAGCGCGTTTAAGTCCGAGTAAAGCTCGGCTCGCAAGTATTTTTGTACACCATGCGCGCAACGAGCTTCGAGGGGAGCGTGAGAAGAAAAAGAGGGCGCGGAGCCGAAACTAAAAGTGTATACATAGACTCGCGAAATTCCGGCCGTCGGCTCTAATGGTAACCCCCTCCCTCGTAATTTCCCGGGAGCTCGCGTAAGTACAACGTGTGTGGTATATATACAGGACGTATGAAGTATCCGACACGTGTACATACACACCCACGTAGACCCGCGCCTCCTCGGTGATGTTATCCGTCTACCGCGCGCATATATATATATATATGTATATAGGCGGGTATACGTATACGTAACACACCGTGCCGTCGTAAACGATCAAGTTCTCGCGCTTAATTAAGCCGTGCTTGATTAAGAACCCAACACCCTATGTATATATATATGTGCTGTGTAGAAAAGCCCGCTTGGTAAGTATACGTCCCGGCAGCTCCTTCAAATTTTCAAAAGCCTCGCACCTTGGGCGGTTCTTCCTTACTGTTTCTTTCCGAGCTGTCTACCTCGGTTTGCCGAGTTTGCGCCTCGAGGCTGGTTACCCCAGAGACTCGTAGGTTGGAGTATGGGCCATTTTTTTTTTTTTTTTATTCATCCACCCTCCACCAACCGTGGGCTTTGTGTTCTGGATTAGGCTATGCAATAATCTTGGGTGTGGCGATTAGTGAAATTCGTGTAAGTATAATTTAGGAGCGAATCATCATCATCAGCCTTGATTAGCGGTAACTTTGTTTGTTTCGGGGCCGCTAGTTTTAATATTATTGCGTTAGTCGATTTCACGGGCAACATTGGCGAATATTAATTAATTTACACTATATACCTGTTGTGATTTTACATATACACAAGGGCATATAATATATGTATTTACAACCCAACGATTGTTCCTTTGTGTTTTAATTCGGTGGTCATGGCTATTGGAAATTAGGTTGCACAACTATATAGAGTTACAATAATACACGTATACTTTATAGTCATCACGTATAAGGCTGTGTAATGATCACGAGCTAATAATGTCTCGTGCAACGTGTTACGATACGAATGCGGATATCGTTTAATCATCGTATTGTAGTTAACCATTGAAATGTTGTCAAACAGTAAAGGGTTTATAAAATGTAGTGCTGACAAACGTTTTAGGAACAACATAATCGATGCTTCGTAAGCTGCAATGTATTGCTTTTTCTATTGAACTAAACATTCTTATTTTTTTTTTTTTTTTCTTTAACGATTGACACAGGAGGGTGAGGGTAGTAGAGAGTGTGAGACACATATCCGTCGCTGATCTTACGCTTGTACGAAAGTTGTTTTTTTTTTTTTTTTTTTTTTCACTTTACAACGTTCCTTGCAACATTGGTTTTTTCCGTACCAGTTTAGTAGAACCCCCTAAGGCATACTTTATAAAAGAAAAAGATCAACCCAAACGGTTTATTAGACGTGTAGTTGAAGTAACTATTTAGATAAACAATGAGACAGACCTTGGCTTCAAAAGGAAACGATTTTTTTTTGAATCAGCCAGATGTAGGCAAACAGTAGCAACATCGTTGCGCATCGTACACACAGATTCGTCCAACAAAAGACGGACTGGTGATGCGTGTACGGGGTACATATATAGATAGCGACACGCGGGACAGGAGAGAAGGAAGGGAGTCGGATTGCTAATCTCGGCTAAAGTCTCTCGGCTGCAGCGACGTAGCTCGGTAGGTGTATATATATATAATATACCCGCTAAGTGGATGTCGAGACAGTAGAGAGAGAGAGGGCCTCGCCTCGACGAGCGGCACATCACGGCAAGAAGAGACACCGGCCCGATGATACTCGCAAACCCGTATCGACTTTCTCCTCCTCCTACCATCCTCTTTATCCCCCCCCCCCCAAAAGCCCACCTCATCCCTCTCGCGTCGACCCTGACACTCCCCACCCTCCTCGTATCCCAATATACTCAGACATCGATACTAAATTACGACTAATTCGGTTTTTTTATTTATCAGGTTTAACGAGGGAGGCTGTTGATTTTTTTTTTTTTTTTTTTTCAACCTGCAACTTCTCCGTATACACGTCGTATCCGAATATATACAATTAAGGCAACCAAAGCAAATACACGTTAGATACGATACGTTATGCACATATATACACTTATAACAGTCACGGGCACGCGGATGCGACGCCATAAATCTTCATTACATCCGTGTGTATGTATGTATATATACGCGTATCATCCATCTCCCGAAGCGCTCGGGTAATAATCCTCGGGAGCTCTCGATATGCAATGTCCGTAATACACGTAGGTATATATATACATCCTCCTCGTACGGCGAGTTTCTTTCTTTTTCCCCCCCCCCCTCCGTTTTCTTTCTTCTTTTGCGCGCAGATAATACATACACACCAGCTCCCATGATCCGGCGAGCTTTGCGAGAAATATTGGTAGCTTCAAAGAGCGAAAGCCCCCCCCCCTGACTTGTGTACGCGTGTATACGAGCGAGGTAGGAGGGAATCGCGGAGAACGGGGTATATCCAGGGAGGATTTATGAATAATGCAACGGTGTCCCCCACCCGGTGCCTTCACACCCACTCTGTTCTCTCCCGTCGTGTATCCATACGTATACGTAAAGTCTCGAGGGTGCAAATCTCCGCGTTAATTTGTCCTTTCGGTGTATACTATACGTATACACGGTGTCCCCCAACTGGTTTTTTTAATCGATTCTCGGTACACAATATGCGGGTTGTTGTATGGCAAAGGGATGATTTATCAAACCCTCATCGGCCGTACCTTCGTTACACCATCAGCCGAGGTCATTTCCCGGCAAAGGCCGTGAGTACAAAAAACACCTCTCGACCCCCCCCCCCCACCTTCGAGTAAGGGGGTCGTGAAAAATGGCCCGTGCAACGGGGACTGCTCTGCGATCTCTGTGTATACGGCCGGCACGTTCCATCGATCGACAACCTTATATACCCCCATACACCCACGAGCTCGCAAATGTATATACATCCCCTTGCGTCCACCGAGTCATTTCCTACAACCTTCCGTCAGCAGCGAGCTTTTAGCCTCCCCCCCCCCCTCTCCTCCTCCTCTAGCTGGTGCACCTGTGTACCGTATATACATGTGTGTGTTATATAGCCGATGGGGAGGAAATGAACCACCTCGGCTAAACCACACTTGTACAGGGTTGTGTACGTGTACGCAGCTAGCCGCAGCGTGGATTTGCGAATTATCGAGTTAAGCGCTCGCAAGGAGCGAAAAATCGATGGCTCCCGGGGGTTTTTTATTTCGGAAAAAAAAAAAAAAATAGCTGTGCCCCCTGCACTTAATACATGTGTACACACACACATGTACTGGCTCTGGGGCGATAAATGGTCCCGTGCCTTTTTTTTTTTTTCTCCGGGCGTCTGCGACAGCTCGATGTATATCATCGAGCGACTCTATACATATATATATATTGATAAAACGATATGCGCATGTATACGTATGTTGATGCGTGCAGGGTGCATTATAAAGGTGTCGTTTCCTTTTGCAGAGTCCGACGCCGCCGCAGTACGTGTTCTGGTATCACAATAATCGGATGATAAATTACGACACGGCGCGAGGCAGCGTGACCGTGCAAACCGATCCAGGACCAACCCAGAGCCGGCTGACCATTCGCCACGCCGTAGAGTCGGACACGGGTAATTACACGTGCAGCGCATCCAACACCAAGCCGGCCTCGATCTTCGTCTTTGTCACCGAAGGCAAGTATAATGTGATGGAAAAAGAAAAAAAAAAGTGTGTACGGGCAGAGAGTGTCTCGTGCGGCGGGAAGGAAGGGAGAAGAAAAGAAAAAGAGTAGTCCCGACGCGAGGCTTTGACATCGAAGAGCCCAATCATTAAATAAATTACAAGCCGCCTCCGTATAGCATCCTCGAAGAAGATTTATGAAAGCTCCTTTCTGTGTCACGAGAACGGAGGGATGGGGGTTGGGGATGGAAGTAGTGCATTTCCCGATGTTCTGGCTTCGACTACTCTCTCTGCTCTGACCATTAATCAATTTTTCTCTCCCGTCCCCTGGCTGCTCCTCCTCCTCTTTCGTACGTCGATTTTGTTGACATTGAAACCGAGAAAGGGATGGGGGCAGGGATGAAATTAAATTTTAAAAGCCCCGGCGATCCTAATGGAATCGCCAAAACGCAATCACGATGACGTGCAACTTTTTTTTTCCCCCCCCATCGCCAACCTCAAAGGGACGAAGGAAGAGCCGTGCGCGCGTGCGAAAGGAGTGTATTCCCTCTCGTTGCGAGAGCGCCAAATCAGCTTGGAGCTCGGTAATTGATTCGACGAGCGTCGCTCCTCAAAGACGCTGATAAATATGCCGAAAAGAAAAGAAAAGAAAAAAAAAAAAAGCATGCACGAAGCGACGCCTTGATTAATTTCCTGGATGGCTCTCGGGGCCGTCGTAATATGAGGAATAAGGAGCCGTGGGGGCTTTACTTGCTCTCCGGGCTTCGCAAACTCGAACTCGTATCGATCAAGCCCGTGCGGGTGTGTTGGTGTACAGCTTCTCCCTGTTTACGTGCATACATCCCACCGGCGACCGGTACACTTGAGAGTGGCTCCCCCGCAAGTTGCACGTACCAAGTTGGGCGCAAGTTTATATTAAATGCGCGGGCATATGTTGGGTGGGCGCACGCGCGTGTATACGTCACCTGAAAGCTCGACCTTACACCCATACTCGGAGGTCTTCGAGTTAATGGACGTAATTTGACACTCCGGCAGACGGGGCGTAACGAATCGAAATATATATAAGTATACGGTTCGGTGTCGCGCTTATAACACGTGAAAGCTAACTTTTGTTTGTTTCTTTTTTCTTCTCCCTAATTAATTTGAATGATTGCTCCTGCCGCGATAACTGTTTCGAGCATTTGATAATGAATCGTCGGGGAATGCGTGTCGCGTGAGTCGACCGTTGTACACAGACATAATACACGCGCGGGATTTATATGATTGAGCACAGTAGAAAAGTCCGAGTTCGGTCGGACGTGGCTGGCCGAGTGGCGTAATTGATTTTCTAGATTATTATTGTATCGCGGGGATTGGCTTTGAAGCAGTTAGAACACAACTGGGTGAAAAAAAATAATAAACTATATTTAGCGGTGTGGATGAAAACAACAGGCACGAAAAGTTTACTCCAACGGCCATTCTATATTTAAAGCTTTGAAAAATTTAGCGGCCTTGCGGTTGTTGTTTTTTTTTTTTCATTTCATCCCCTTGCAATATTTATGTAGGCGTATGCGTGCGGCAAGAAAACTCCGTAATCCTCTCCTCTTTCTTTGTTTCTTTCTTCTCCGTGTAGAGGGGAATATTGTTCTTTCCATTATGTTTCACGACATGGTAACGTAGCAACGACTGTTATGGCGAAAGGCAAAAACGGATAAAAAAAAAAAAAAAAGGCATTGATGTGTCTAAAAATGTTACTCGTGGACGAAACAGTAGAACGTAATACGCGTGAAAAGAAATGGAAAGGCCGAAAACAGGGAGAGAGCGGGTATCTCGATGAATAATCAGAGATCTATTCGGCGCGATTTTTTTTTTTTTTTACTCACGAAACAAATGAATATGCGCAGCAATAATTGTAAGTGGTGTTTTCCCAGAACGCAAGGATATCAAGATCGGGGGCGAGGGTGATATTTATTATTCAAATCCTCAAGTATATATATATAGGTGACATATTTTTTATACAATTTAGCGCTCCCCCCAGCGTGTCCACTGCCAAACGTTAACGCACGCCCTCACTACAGTACCCAATTTGACTGATGCACGCACATACATGTGTACGGTAACGCATATATACATAACTACGTTGTTTATTTTTAGTGAATAATAATATATGGACTTTTCCCACCCCCGATGTCGAGTTTACCCTTCAAACCTGGAAAGAAGCGAACCTTTCGATTCCACGAGCGATGGACGGCGAGAAAAAAAAAAAAAGCAAATGACGCACATAGTCTTATCTCGCAGATCCCATCGTGCCCCACCGACGCAAACGCGCGTTTGATAACGTAACTCATTCCCCTTGCATCGGCGCAACATTCGCGGGGCGCACCGCGCGAGAAATATAATTAAACGTCACGCGTAAAAGACACGCGCGGGCGCGCGGTGGTATGCATGTACACCTACACCTATATATATCCGAGTGTTTCAAGCCCGTGCGATGTGTATTATTGAGGTTTCGGCGCGGTACCCCCGTTTTATCCGACTTCCGTTTTCAATTAGCGGCTCTAGCTGATCGCGCACTGATCGCTATCTCACCGCTCGATTACCAGTCGTATATGTGTGTGCGGGTGTCACATCCCACCCCCTCCGACTGTACGTGTATACGTCCGATTGGGGGGAGTGAAATAAAAAAAACACAAATTCCCCCTCCTTTTTTTTTCATGTCAATTTATAACTCGCTAGCCGTGACAAATTGACGCGTACTTGACTCGGATGGAGCGCTTGTATGGAATCGAGTTGGGCCGTGGGCGTTTTCTCAATCGTTGAAAGGGCACTCGGGGGAAAAGGGAGTTGCTCCATCGGGGGATAAAGTTTTATATATATATTGATAAAACGATATGCGCATGTATACGTATGTTGATGCGTGCAGGGTGCATTATAAAGGTGTCGTTTCCTTTNTTTTTTTTCATTCGAGGCAGGCGTAAGGAACTTTGGGGGACTATATTAGGAAGGAGCAGTGATTTCTCGTGGAATTAGCTGCAGTTACACTCATTCGGGGCGAACTAATTTATTTTAGTTACAACCCAATAAAGCGGTGATGCAAGTTTATACTTGTACGCAGTTGTTAATACACACGGATAGGCTTGTACACCCCTCCCTCTGCTCGTAGAGTTGGCGAGCGCTAATTCAAAAAGTTTCGTCCAATGCAAATATATACTCGAGAGAATGGCGCACATGTGGAAGCAAACAAGAAGTACGAACCCCCCCCCCTCCCCCGGGGGCGATCAGTTTTGAACTTTGGTTTATCAAAATGGTACGGCTGTGATTGAAAGATAACTGCCAAGAGTGCGTGCACGACTTTTTTGGAGGGTAAAAAAAAAAACAAACAAACAAACAAACAAAGATGTAGCTTGTAGACGACGAGTGGAAAAATAAACCAAAGCGGGATGAGGTTGCGGGGTTAAGCCGCCCCGGAGTGGTTGTAATAACAGAGTCGGATGAGAATCAATGCAACGGGGCTCTGAAAGAAGGAAAAAGCAGAGAGCGCGCGTGTATGTATATGGGTAACAGGGGCTCGGGGGGGGGGAGGGGGTGTGAGAGTTGAGATAACGGGCCGCAGTAGTCCCGGTGGACGTGCACGATTGTACGTATGGAGGGATAAGGGCGGCGAAGCTCGGCAGAGCAGAGTCGGTGTGCATGTACCTATATGCATCCTATACTATAGGAAACTCGTTGAAAACTCGAATTGGCGAGTTAGGTGGAGGGCAAAGCTAGCGAGGGAAGTTAGACAATCCATATACCTACGGGGGGAGCGGGGCGTAATCGCATTACGGAATTTGGAGGAATATAGGGGGTTGGGGGGGAGGAATTGAAAATTCCTGTTTCGAACGTTTGAGTAGCACATCATCGTTCGTCGGTGACGACAAAATAAATTGTGTACGCGCGAGTGTGTGTGTGTGTGTGTGTGTGCACGTTTTATTTTATTCCACTCCCGTGGCTCTTTTTTCTAAACGTCAATAACTCTTTTTTTTTTTTCGTTTTTGATGTTCATCGGGCGTAGTAGGTGTATACATCGTGATCGACAAAAATTTGTGAGTTTCAAGCTTTTGAATTCGAGTTTTTCCCGCCTCCCATTCAGCGTGTGCTCAGTACCGGAGGGAATTTCCTACCACAGGTGTATGCGGGAACAAAATTCCATATTTGAACAGTTCGCCTCGAATTTTTTTTTTTTTTTTTTCATTCGGCAGTACGCGATCGATGTCTGTATTTTACACTTTGGGTTTCTGTCGTTTTTTTTTTCCGTGGGTTTGAATCAATCGTATTTGTTGCTTCAGTGCTCCAATGAAAATACGATCGCTATTCCGAGCTATTACAATTGGCAAATAGATAAATTTGAAGAAAAAAAAATATATTTGGACATATATAGCACGATCAATGTGTCTAGACCGAAAGTATATTATCGTATGACGCTGCGTTTTAATACTCGTAGATTCATTTTATTGTAAGGATCAAAATACAAGTATAAAATATTTTTTTTTTTTTACATAAAAACATAAGACGCCCTCGTCCTTTGGTACATTCGAAGAGAAAAGGGGGGCACGATAAGCAGCTGACGAAACACCCCCCCAAGACACGCAAGTCGATAATGCGTCTCCTCTCCTCCTGCATTAAGTGCGCGTTTGACATGATTTTAAAAGCAAAGGCCGACGACGTGCATGAAAAATTCAGCAGCAGCTCTCCCTTGAACATACATACGCTCTCGTATGCGCCCACACGCGCGGCTCCGCAAGAACGAGACTCGCCTGCAAGGAGAGGCTGTAACACTATTGCGCTCAAAAGAAAAAAAAAAAAAAGTTCACGTTTCATCTCGAAGATGCGCGCATTCGCTACGCATCCCGTAAAAATGTATTATTAATGAAAAATCTACGCGTGTGTTTCAGGTGACAAAATGGCGGCGATCCTGCGGCGCAAAACGTCGACCGGCTCGCGGCTCGAGATCGGCCGGTACTCGCTACCGGTGCTCCTCTTCCTCCAGGCGCTGGCCCTCGGCTACGGACTCCGATAAGCCCCGCTGCACACACGCTCGACTACAACAAAATTCACTCGCACGCAGCAGCGGGAGCAAGAGATATATATCATATTAAAAATAAACAAGAAAACACGTGTCTCAGCAATGGAAAAAAAATAATAATAAAGAATATAAATATATTATGTATAAAATGCGCCCGCCGACTGGACGGGGATTAAGGACTTTCAACCAAAAACACACGCTCCCACGCGCACCGTTACACCCATTAACCGAAACAACACGTTATATATTATACACTACACACACTCTTACAAGTGAAACAACAATTGTCCACGCCATTAAAAAATTACGTCGTTTAGAAAAACAAAATGATATAAGATTAAACAAAAAAAAAGGATAAATAATTGAAAGGAGATGATCGTCATATTGTCATATTATTTCATCAGTATAACTATGTATATTTGCGTTACTCGCGTTTTTATCGCAAAAAGTAAAAAGTAAAAAAAAAAAAAAGAAAGAAAAAAAACACCCTACGAACGTACAGGATGTAATGTGTATAAAAAATGAAAAAAATAAATAAATAACCGAGGGAAAAATAAAAAGTTATAACAACAACGTATTAGGCGAAGGTCGGTGGCATGTGTAAAAAAAAAAAAAAAAAACGAAGAAACAAGGAAAAAGAGTCAGCAACGTCAGCGGAACTCGCGAGTTATTACGCTCGCACAGTGGGCTCGTGTATACATGTACGCAACCTACATCGTGCGAAAATAGAGAAAGAAGAGAGACTACCTCTTTTTTTTTTTTTTTTTTTTTTTCCGGGGACGCAAACGCAGCTGTATGTGCGAGAGTGCTTTGGTATACATACATAGACAGCTCTATCGGTCCTCCCCCTCCGTATATGAGGAAATCCAATCCAAATCGACCATTTTACGTCACAAAAAAAAATTAAAATTTTTTTTGAGGCACACCTTTGCAATAAATTTTTTCTTGTTCTATGTACCCTCAGAAATAAGGGAAAAATAGTGTGCAAGAAATTCAGGCTTTGTGACATTGTTTTTCACGACTCTGAAGATTTTAATCATTGATTTTCGAAAAGAGTGCATGATTCCCCGGGACACAGGTACTCTCGCGTACTGTATAGACTACTTGACATGGGCTAATGGGGACTTAGATGTATATCTAAGGTAAATCGGGGGTGCTGAACACAATGAACATGGTTACAAATCGATATCTCGATTACTTTTCGAGATATCGATATAACGAGCAACATAATCTAAAAATTACGGGGCGAAAAAAAATTTTTTTTTTTTTTGAGGCACACCTTTGAACCAAATTTTTTCTTGCTGTATATACCTCCAGAAACAAGGAAAAAATTGTGTACAAGTACTTTGGGCTTTGTGACACAGTGTTTTTTATGGCTCCGAAGGGTATAATACTTGATATTTCAAAAATACTAAGTGAACATGATACGTGCGACTTGTACTGCGTTTTTAAAGCAGCTTGTCGTTTTTATACTATACCATTTTCAATCCGATGGACCATCGACACAGTACAAAAATAAAATTAATTTCTATCTACTGCATTTTTTCTGTAATAAACTAAATCTAACAAGCGCTACATGGAATTTTACAGCTGCTGGTCATGGCAAAAGTATAGCTGATGCGATTGGAGGTACTGTTAAAGAAATGTGTGATAGACATGTTACTTTTGGCCATGATATTTTATGTGCAAATGATATGGTACAATGCATAAATAATTCTAGCAGCAAAATAAATTCATTTTGTATCGATGAAGAAAAAATTAAAATGATTGATAGTCTTGTTCCCGAAGATTTAAAGCCAGTTCCAGCAACTTCAAAAGTTCATCAAGTTATGTGGTCCAAGTCTAACAGTAAAAGTTTGTCATTCAATTATTTATCGTGCTCTCATTGTAATATAGATACTGGTTGCGAACATTATAAGATTGATAGTGTAGTTACATATGATGCGAAAGAAATTGTAAATAATGATGCTAAAAGTAAGAATATTTCACCGTTTCAATCAACAAAAAATTTCAAAGTTGGAGAGTGGGTAGTAGTAATATACGACCAGTGGTACCCTGGTCAACTTGAAAAAATTAATAAAAATGCATTAATTGTTAGATTTTTAGAGAGAACAAAAAAAAATTTTCGTTGGCCAAAGAATAATGACGTTTACACTGTATTTCCAACACAAGTACTGTGCAAAATTGATGAGCCGATTCGTATATCAAAAAAAAATATATTTAAAATAAGTGAGCGAGATTATAATGAAATAACTGCTATGTCTAATTCATGCACAATTTATAATCCCTAGTAATTTATTATAACTTCAATACTTACTGTTAAGTTATGTGAGTTATTATAAGATAATAAATAATTAATCTAAAACTATATGGTAATATTTATTCAAACTTGAAAAAATTGGTAATTTTTTTTTTTTTATGTTTTAACCGAAAACTTGATAAATTCAAGCGTCTTTTTGTTAATTAAGTCCTGTTTAATCTAGTCAGGTTCCTCAAAAAAAGAAACTTATCGTGGTATAGTATAAAAACGACAAGCTGCTTTAAAAACGCAGTACAAGTCGCACGTATCATGTTCACTTAGTATTTTTGAAATATCAAGTATTATACCCTTCGGAGCCATAAAAAACACTGTGTCACAAAGCCCAAAGTACTTGTACACAATTTTTTCCTTGTTTCTGGAGGTATATACAGCAAGAAAAAATTTGGTTCAAAGGTGTGCCTCAAAAAAAAAAAAAATTTTTTTTCGCCCCGTAATTTTTAGATTATGTTGCTCGTTATATCGATATCTCGAAAAGTAATCGAGATATCGATTTGTAACCATGTTCATTGTGTTCAGCACCCCCGATTTACCTTAGATATACATCTAAGTCCCCATTAGCCCATGTCAAGTAGTCTATACAGTACGCGAGAGTACCTGTGTCCCGGGGAATCATGCACTCTTTTCGAAAATCAATGATTAAAATCTTCAGAGTCGTGAAAAACAATGTCACAAAGCCTGAATTTCTTGCACACTATTTTTCCCTTATTTCTGAGGGTACATAGAACAAGAAAAAATTTATTGCAAAGGTGTGCCTCAAAAAAAATTTTAATTTTTTTTTGTGACGTAAAATGGTCGATTTGGATTGGATTTCCTCATATAACATTGTTTCACGCGCGTGGTATCAAATGTATCGTGTACCTGTATCATTCTGGGGAGCCGCGTGATCCGGCTGATGCGAATAAACGTATGCGCCGGGCTGCTGAAAAATCGGCAAACGGTTGAAAAATAAATATAGGTTCATTCAACTTTGGTATATATATACGTATACGCGCGAGCTCGTGGATATGGGGTGATCGAGGCACGCGTACACGGGACATTGGGGATTCACTCGCGATTAGCAAATCGGTCGCGATTCACTCGGCGCTGCGGAATTGACAAAACTGCCTCAGTTGCCAGGGCGGGGACGCTCGTCCTTTTATTTATCGGAGAAGAAAAAAGAAAAGAAGAAAAGCATCGCTAAATCGACGCTCCTCCGCCGATCGGCTGTTCCGAGTCATTATGCCCGCCCTACCCCGATTTATGTAAATATTCGCAATCGCCCTCGTTTATCCCATTGTGTACGTGTACATATACCCATACCTATCGCGTGTAGTGGTGTTTTCTGTATGGGTATATATATATTTATATGAATGAGGCGGAAGGAAATCGGCCGAGCCATCCCTTTCTCTTATTGATTCGTTGGGGGAACGAGGAGGTCGGGAATGAACAAGAGGAGACGAATGGCCGTCGAATCTGCTGCTCGTCTCGTGTTTATTTATTCACGCCTCCTCTTTTCTCGGGGCTATCCTTTAAATTAGCACCACCGAGGGTTGGGTGGGGGGGGGGAGGACTCTCGTAAGCTATTCATCGCTCGGGAATCAACTGGAATCAGGTATATTTTTCTTGCCGATCGACTCGCCGAGGACTCGTTTCTTGTGATGTACTCACAGCTACAGCGCGACCATGTACCTCGACTTGTGTCTCCCTCCTCCTCCCCTATCGTGTACTTTTATACGATTTCGCGAAACGTGATTGTTTCCAACAAAACGACGCTTGTGCTTGGCTGCGAGAGCGAGCGGGTGACTTTTAACTTTAACCGGTATATCCTTTATGCATGTATACAACTTGCTTCCCATTTCGATTTTGTATCGGAGATCGACTGATTAATGTTACGTTGTTCGTTTTCGACTGAGATCTTTAAATGATATTGTACAGATTTATTTAGTTTGGTAATACTCTGTGGATCGGAGCACCAAAAGATATCGGGTTTTCGATCAATATGATACTATAAACTAATTATTATTATTATTATTATATACAATGGTAAATCGCGTAAATGAAATATTATTTATCAGCCAGCGACTGCCCAAAAGTAGGTATTTACTTTTCGTGTGTTCAGGTGTTTCCAGAAAAACCGTAACGATAAGACTAAACTTGATGATTATTGTACTACTTACTATCGTACTTTTGAAACAGTACTACTTTTCTTTGCAATCGGTAACGAAGCAAGTCCAAGCAAAAAGCTGGACTCCCCGGCGCAAAAACTTCCTGAATCCGCAATGCTCGGGAGCTCGGACTTGATTTTAATTCATCGACCGAAGCGCGGAGTGATGGGGTGCGGGGGGAGGGAGTGACAAGTGCCCGCCTAATGATCAAAAAGAGAGATCTCCTCGCGTCGAGTCGGTGAAACGCGGGAAAAAAAAGTTTGCTTTTGTTTTCTCTCTGCAATCGGTGTTTAATGCAATAAAAAAAAAAAAAAAAAAAAATGGGGCAGGGGTTCTTTCTTGCGTCGATGCACAGTTGCCAGAGTCGCCACTTTCACATACCGAGTCAAGGAGGAGGGATTGCGCCAATAATGAGACAAGCACCCCCGCGCGCTCTCGTAAATTACTTTCGCGCTAATTAGGACTCCGCTGTGTGTACGCTCCTCGGCTTATCGAACTCTACTCCCTTCCTCGATCATTTTTCCCTTGTTTTTCCGCGGTTCGCCGGTAAGTGGGGGAAAATCATGACGCCCGTTCAAGAGCTCTCGCGCAAGTGTACGTGAGTCGCAAATACACAGCGAAGCTGGAAAAAGTTATGCCTTTGGGGGCTGAGAATAAAAAAGTTACGCTCTTGTCTCGAGAGAATCATAGGGTTTCCGTACACGACTGTTTTTTTTTTTTTTTGTTTTGTTGTAGTTATTTTTATTTGAAACGTACAGGTGCTGCATGTGCGAGCCGAATAATGGAAAAGGCGCGTAATGCAACTACTGCCGCCATAGTATTGTATATACACCGTAATCGGATTGGATTATTAACATGTGAGTTCATCTCGCGTGGAAATTACCTTCGGTATCGGAATAACGAGAATTTTCACGAAATACATTTAACGCGTATACACCTAGAAGCCGAGTCAGCCAAGGAGACCGGATACGAGTGCCATTTCGAGAAAAAGGTCCATCGCGCGTTTCGCACAATTGAAGTGGGAGGAGCGAGGTAATTTTGGAAAAAGAGAAAAAAACACTCAGCCGCGCTAATAAAAGTCAAAGAGGGCGAACATAACGAAGCGAGGGCTAACGCCCACCGAGAGCCGGCTCTCCTCGGAGGCTTATCGCAAAAACGGCCGAAGAAGAGCCGGGGCTGCAAAAATGCCCCGGCTATGCTTTTTACGGCTCCATTAGAGCTAGATCCGGGGGATTCGGTAGTGAAAGGAAAAGAAAAAAAAAAAATATATAGCCAAGAGAGAGGAGAGAATAAATAACGAAGGTGCAAGAAGACGCGCCGCGGAAGTCGTGTATATATAATGAATCGCAGCGAGCGGCAGAGGGCCCCGTAATGAGCTCGAAATGAAAACTGCTCTCGAGAGTGCGTGCACTCCTCCCCTCTTTTTCTTTCGCGTAGGGCGCGAGCAATTGTTCAAATTCATTGCAAGTATACTTTACGTGTATACCTGCATCTGTTGGAGAGTGTGCCCCACACCCCGATGCAGTGATGACTCTACGTGTGTTATTAACTCTACCTCCCGTGTCGCAAAAGGGTTGTTTTTTTTCCAACTCGGCGTCCCTTTGGATTGCTTTGACGAAAAATTTCAATCGCGGTGCTAATGCGCTCGACCTCGTACATATATATATATACACAACTCCCCGCGAGAGCCCTCCCCCGCTCCTATTTTTTTTTCTTTTTCTTTTCACATTGCTCGACTACCTGCAGCTTTGCCGCGGATAAATTCAATCCGATCAAATTGATTTGAAAGTATCCTGCCACGGTTACCAGCGCGCTCTCTGTTTCTAGTTTTTTTTTTTTTTTTTTCTCCGCTAGTGGGTATATGCATTTGAGTGTTTGGGTACGAGCGCATACAGCATGTGTGTATGGGATTGAAAAGGAGTGTGTAACCCAGTTGGGGAAGTAGCGGAGTACAAATTGGCCGAGGCAAGTCGCGCGTGGACTCATTAGTCGAGAGACATTTCTTGTCGAAAGAGAAAAGAGGAGGAATAAAAAAAAGTGACATGTCACAGGCGCCGTCGTCATTGAAAAAAAAAANATGAAAAATTGCGGGTGTTTGTCCGCGTGAATCGTTATGTACACCGTGTTTTTGTCTTCTTGGGTCGTAACCACGAGCGGCACAGTCGATTGGCCATCCTTTGGCAAAAAAAAATGGCCCGAGTTTATTTTGCTTTGGTACTGCAGTAACGAGCCAACTTACCGGGAGCGCGATGCACTTTCGGCTGGGATTCTGGTCCACGCGAACAGGACACGACCAACAGTCGGAGTCGAAAAGGCGCACGAGGACGTACAAAACAAAGACGTCGCTGCTCTTTTCAAATAGTGTGTGCCACTGTACGATCGGAGTCGCGCGCCTATATCATCCAAACGAATGGATTACAACTTTTGTATACTACTGATTCGAGAATGGTATTGTTAAAAAAAAAAATAAATAAATAAATAAATAAATGAAGGGAAAAAAGAGCTGCGACGGTTCATTTGACTATGATATAATTATAAGAAGATAATATACGAGAGTCGGGAGAAAATGGTGGGGCCGAAAAAAGGAGAAGAGCGAGGGAGAGGAGAGATGATTATAAGAGAATATAAATGTGCGCGCAGCAGTTCACGAACGCTTGGAAAAAGGGAAAAGTCGTGGGGGGAAATTTGTGAAAAATTTAATATACGAAGAATAATTATTGTCATTACCGGAGACTTCGTGCTTTGCTGCGTGCACGACTTTATATAGGCTATTCGTAGGGTCTGTTAATATTAAGATTAAGAACGATAAATATACGATTAAATTATGGTGGAATTTCAGGAAAAAAAAAAAAAAAAAAAATACCAAAGGATTCAAATATATGTCTGCAATCATGTATTATATTAGTATGGAATGATCCGATTCAATAAAAATTATGCGAAATAAATTGTTTTCATTTTCATTACTCGCCAGCCCTAATTGCTGATCTTTTTTTTTTTTTTTTTTTTTTTTTCATGTTACTCTCATTATGTATTTTTTATTTTTTTTTTATTTTTTAAGGAGGATAATTTTTTTAGCAATAAATTCGAAAAAGTCGTAGTAAAAATTCCAAATTTTTTTTTTATTGATTCTATCAATAAAAACATTAATCATATGTATACAAGGTTATCATTACATACATATGTATATATATATATATATTTTTTTACATATCTATGATTTCATTTACATAATAATATAAAGAGCTGTAAATTGATAAACATAACAGATAAAAAGATTTTGACTGTATATAAGGAGATTCTAAACTTGTGAGCGTATTCAGTTTTCGCAATGATGCTTTTATTGTATTATGCAAAGATTATCAAATATATTTTGTAAAAAAGAGATGTTTAGTAATCAAAAAATCTGTATCTCAAAGCTTTTTACAGCTTTATAAATCAACGTAGAAAAGTTCATTCACTCCTTAGTACAATCATTCGGCATACCTAATTATCTTATATTTTCATTTAGCAGACTAATGCAGCTTGGAATAACAAAAAATATAATATATTACAATAGAATAATAAATGTAGTTTTATAAATACATTATTATTTGCATTAGTTAGTCTTCAAGTAGTCTTGATAATTTTAAAAGTTATTTTATTCCGAATCACTCATCTCTAAGTGCCGTTAAACACTTTTTTATCAATTCTGCGTGAGCCTAAATTGGAGCAAGTATAAATTTCAATTTAATATTTCACTCAATGCTTTAATGACTATTTTAAATATCACGTACATACCTTTGCGTGTTTTATTTCCAATTCCGTCAAGTCGATGAGATTTTTTTTAAAAGCAGCCACTCGTCTTGTTTTAAAATCAAGAAGTTCTGAAGGAAATTGAATTTATAAGAATATATCAGTAATAAAATTTATGGATAATGCGAAAAGCCTCAAGTACCTTCTTTTCCTTTCAACGACATCTGTTCGAATTTTGTGCACGCTTCGGTTTGTGCTTGCTCTGCCTGGAATATCAAGTGCGTAATGTTGATGAATAAAAAAAATGGTAATTTTTGGAACATCCTATAGACATTCAAGAGGCAAAAACTCCATTTATAAGCATGTAACATCCATCGTGCATTATTAAGTAACTGCATGCTGCATAGACACAAAATAATTATTTACAGTGCAAAAATTAAAACACAATTAAAGATACGAGACAAAAAGTAAAATCATATAAGCCTTAAGGGTAAGGAAAATTAATCTTTGCACTTGATAACAATAAATAAACGTTTCATATAAGAAAAAGACACACCTCTGATACTTCCAGTGCCTTTAGGAGCAAGAAAAGTTGGATTAGTCGTCAAAATCATGTGTTTGTTTATTTAATTAAAGTTCACCAAAGAAAGAAGTAAGCAACACAAACTTTAGTTATTTTAATTTACGAATTATCAAAATTTACGAGTAGTATTTTTAGAAATATTCTACTGTAGGATTAGAATTAAAATATTTTTCAGTAGTTTAGCACCATTTGAAATAAAAATTAAGTGGATACTCACTGCATGTACATCCTTATTTTTGGCACGTGCTTTTTCCAAAGCTCTGTTTGCTGTTTCATAGGTATGCAACGCTTTTAACCTTCGAATCAATAACCTCTTTCCAGCCGCTGTGTCTCTCATATAATAGCGTAAGGTATCGGAAAGTTTCAGGTCCTCATCCGACGCCACACGCCCTTCCACTTTCTACGAAAAATAATTCAATTGTTACAAACTTACCACAGCACAAATTTAAAAGTTTGGATAACGTCATAGTTACCCGGATCTTTTCAAATGTCTCGGAAATTTTCGTTAATAATTTTTCAAGCTTTCCCGTGTCTGTTGTGGCTAATTGTAAAAGTATAGCTGAGACTTTGATGTACGAATCGGCGACGTCTTTGTGCTTTACGGTTTGGCGGTCAGCGCGACTCGTGGCGTCTTTCAAGTTTTGATGGTATTGTGTAAGGAATGCTATTTCTTGATCAAAAAAGTCATTGACGTCTTTGACAGTTGCAGACAGGTAATACTCGTCTTTGGTCTTTGAAAACGATTTCATCAATCCACCAAACATCTCCATTTTGTTTTTACCTACAAAACCAATTTGTTATGAGCATACATAAAAAAAAAAATTAACTATTTTTAACAAAACATCAAAAGCATGAACCAACCTCTTACACAAAGATCTTGATCATACTCTAGAAAAACTCTAAGGTTGTGGTCATTCTGGAACACTGGGTGGTGTGCAAGGCGAGTCAAGAACATTTCATGCATGGCAACAGTTTTTTTGAAAGTTGCCAGATACTCTCTGTAAGTACACATCACTATGAATAACACATTAAAAAAAAAGATGAAATCAATGAAATATTTATCACTTACGCTTCCAACTCCTGTTTCATCTTCATGAACTCTTCCCTCGTCATACTACCTTCACCCTCTCCAAGCTTTTGTAATTTTTCTCTAGAAGCATCAAAGTCTGGCCTTGGAGGACAGGGTGGAATCTAAAAGTATCCCAAAGCCATGAAGTTTTTCTAACTTCAAAGGCACATGCAATGGTAATGGCAAAACGAAACGTAATGAAAAAAACGTACAATATAACCAGCGTACTCCTCGTTCTCTTCGAATCGGTCGTGCAGCCAGACAAACTCCTCGTGCTGCCTGACGACGAAGAACTCGGCCTTTTGGAAGGCAGGTAACGACGTTTTCGTGTGCACCGTAAACTTAACTTTGTCCTTTTCACTGAGGGCATCCGAGATATCGACCTGCAGTGGCTTTTCGTTGTGCTCCAGCGACGATTCATTAGAAATACTCTGCAAATAAATTTCACATCACAATCTCCAGCCGTTGGTTAAAAAACGATAAGAGGGAGAAACACCCAACTTTCGCGAGTGTGGACTGCACATAATATTAAAAGAGAGACGCACGCATTTATGGCAAAATGCATACCTCACAAGAGAACAATACATTATGACTGGACTGGAGTGATAATGATAATCATATAGGGTCGGGTGGTGAAGAGGAAAGAAATGATAAGCAAAAAGGCGTAAACTCTATAAATGCACAGTAAGTACTTAGTAAACAATGAAGGTATACCTTCTTGGCCGGGCCGTTGTTGATGATGTCGTTGGTCTCGCAGATTCCGTCCTGCAACATCATACACAGAATCCCTTCAGATACAAACCACCAAAGATGAAATAGGGGAGGAAACCCGAGAGCATACAAGGCAAAATATGAGAAGAGTGGCGTTTCTACACGAGTCAAATATACTTTATCACATTATACACAAGCAAATGATATCAAAGAGTAATAAGAGATAAAAAAGAACAAATAAACAAGCAAGCAACCGGCTGCCATCTGAAAATGATAACAGGTTCCACCTACCATCATGGCGTCTGTGTGTCGTCGGCGGTCGCCTCTTGAGCGTCCTCCTCCTTCGTTGATCCTATTTATTTATTTTTCTCTTCCACTCTGGCCCACCGACCTTTTTCACCACTGTTCCCGTGCTCCGTTAATTATCCTCGCTTTTACCTCCAGCTCTCATACTCTCTTCTCTTCCGCAATGCCGCAGTGGGTAGATATATTATGAGGTTGTATATGACTGCACTTCGTGTAACCGTCCGGAGCAATAATAATAAGTTGACAGCGCTTTTTGCTGCGCTGCTCCTTACGCCCAACTTAACCTGTGTCAACGATGACAACACAATAATAACAATGCGGATATTCATACATATATTATATACTTTAGGAGGAGTACACCGCTTTGATTTTTATTTACTTACTTGCTCAGTTGATGCTCTCCGTTTTAATTTGTCTCTCTTTTTCTCGTCTTTGTTTATCTGCTTCTGCTCTAGGTATATGTATATAGTATATAGATTCTATTTACTACCACTCAGCAACTCAGCATCCATGTATACTTAGTGTAGATGATACGTCACCAATAGTACAGCATCCCTCATCTTGATGATGAATATAATTATACATCATTCAAATTATAATAAGAGTATGAGTAAGTTTTTTCCTTCTCTCACTCTCTGTAACTTAATACTTAATTTCAAAACAAAATTAAAAGAGTTAAAAATAATTTAAAACGGTCGGAATGAAGAATTTGTTATAAAATAATTAAGATCGCTTGATTTTAAATTAAATTTTTTATTCATTCATGTTATTTATAGTATATGTATACATATATATATATATATGTAGGATTAGAGTTTAACAGCAGATGTTTAAGTGGGTTTTACTTTGAAATTTCAGCAAAACAGAGATCTTGCCAATAAGCATTTTTTACTTTCTATAAAGCAATTGGACTGTAAATTTTACAAAGAATGTTCTTCATATTTAATGTACAAACATACGAAATATATTCCATCAATCCTATTCTGCATGGTGTGTCTTTAAGAATATTGGTATCCCCTGTAAATTACACCCTTTTGGCGTTTTTTCAAAGCTTTATGAAAATAATAATTTGAAAAGTCGGTCTTTTAGTAGCTACTAGACATTATTATGATTATTTATAATATATGTTTATTATTGTATGAATTCAAGTATACATTTGGTTATAATTTCGTCATATTTTATAAAAACAATTTCATTTTATCTGACTAGTAATTATTTCACAGATAAGTAGATGATTGAAATAACTGGTCTACTATCGTCTGTTTGATGAAAAAAATTTTCCTATGATCTTAACATTTGTAATTTTACCTATTTGTATACTTATATATACTGCGAATCAATGTGTACAAAGTATTGGCTGTGGTATTTCTCTCAATGGAGGATCACCAAATTTTAATCGTGATTATGTAAAAAGAAATCATCATGACCAATTCGACTTTTCCATTTTTTTTTATTTTTTTTTTTATTTGAAATCAAAGTCACGTTCATCACAATCACTTCAATTTATTTTTTACACGTGTTAATCATCGCGTCAAAAAAGCGCCAGGAATAGCGTCGACTAAAATCCTTAAATCTAACAAACGAATCAAGTAAACACTTGAGAAATTCTCAATTAGGTGTAGACAATGTCATTTTTGACGCCCTTTGAGCGATGTATAACTTCAACACAGTTAATGGAATAATTTCTTCTTTTTTTTTTTTTTTTTTTTTTTTTCATACTTAGTTCATTTTGGTGTAGCAATAATACGTACAAGTACATTGAAGTTGTGTAAGTTTAATGAGCATAAATCAACACTCCTGCTTCAAAGTATGATATTGCCTTGAAAAAAAACTATCAGTGCAAGTCGTCTTTAAGAAAAAAAAGATTTAAAAAATAAAATATCAGCGAGAGGAACATAGTTCATTGTTTTTAACGTGTAGAATTACAATAAAATCCACACATAACGTAAATATTTCTCAGATAATTGTACAATTTTTTCTCCTGCTTCTCAGAAGTCACCAAAAACATGAAAATGAGATTTTCGATGGTGTTTATAAAAATTTGTAAAGGCTTTGTTCATCGGAGGTGCATCATGATATAGAACAATTTGCCTTACAATAATTATATAAACCTATCCGTTGTCTTATCATTAAATAGTAATAATAATAAGAATATAAATACACTGCCCTCATCACTTGTTATCTAAAGATTGAAAAAAAATAAATAAATAAAAAAACAATCAAATGTAGGCGCTTTCCTGTAGTGAAAACAAAGAGCAGGAATGAGATAGTCAGTTCAAATTGTTGAGGGGTGAATCGGTGGACACCTGAGACCCATCCCCTAGCAGCATCCACCGCCTTGTGCACTGCCCTGACCACCAGTTCCTGCTATACCACCAGTACTGGTTGGGGAATGTGAAGGTCCAATCTTGATTCCATTAGCCTTTAAAGATTTGTTAATTCACCATTAAAACGACCATAAATTATGAATGCATGGACGAGTCAAAAATAAAATAATCCAAGAACCTCATTGTTAATGTCAAATACACCCTCCTGGATTTTCTCATAAATCTCCTTGGCTGTGTTTATGAAAGCCTCCTCGACATTAGCCGCAGTCTTTGCACTGGTTTCCATGAAGACCAGTCCATGCTCCTTGGCAAAAGCCTCGCCCTCTTCCCTCTTGACTTCCCTTCTGGCGTCAAGATCGCTTTTGTTGCCAATCAGCATAATGACCATGTTGGAATTCGAGTGCTGTCTTGCATCCTCTAACCACGTGGTCAAATGATTGAAGGTTTCCCTGCGAGTGATGTCGTAAACTAGCAGGGCGCCAGCTGCTCCTCTGTAGTAGGATCGAGTAATTGACCGGAATGCTTCCTGTCCAGCCTGTTTACCACATGGATTTCATACATGAACGAGAAACTCATTTCATAAAACAGGAAAAGGCTATCAAAAAAAGTGAAAATATAATCACAGTATCCCAAATTTGAAGCTTGATCTGTTTGCCGTCGATGGTGATCATGCGAGCTCCAAATTCTACCCCAATGGTGAGGTCGTGCACTGGCTGGAATCGTTTGTCTGTGAATTGCAGCAAAAGACACGACTTTCCCACACCTATTGCGCGAATGAACAAATAAATAAAAACATCGTTAGCAATCCTCCACATACACTACAATAAAAAAGCTCTCTCGCAAGCTGTCGCAAAAGTAAACAAAGCGTTAATATAAACAAAGAAAAAAATAGTGACATGAATAACTCTTTTGGAGCAGAAATATACAGATATCGAGCAATGAGTATTTATTAACATTGAGGATAAAATCTGCGAGCTCCATTCTCGCGAGATTGCGAATAAATTAATGCAGAATCTCGGGTGTGCATATATTGCATTCATCTTGGTAAGACGAGCCACTCGCGATAATGCGTCACGGATTACTTAGTGCGGAGATGATCATCATATAGTCTTGCTGAATGACAACGTAAGAAAAGGAAACTGCTCGAGTGAATAAGTCAATGGGTTTATGGAACTGTCAAAAGGCATAATGTTTGTGCAGAAAAGTACCTATAGTTAGAATGCGCGTTTACACAAAATAAAACGTAGAGTTCTAAGCGTAGTAGTCGAGGCGTCAACACTAGGTACTTAATGCTCGAGATCACCATAGCCTAACAAAGGCTCAACTCACCCGTGTCCCCGATGATGATGTACTTGAACAGGTAGGCGTACGACATTTTCGCATAGACAAATATCCCAACAAACGATGAGCACTATACACACCACACACAAAAACACACACTCGCTCGCGCTGCTCTTCGACCCTCTGATCTGATTTGATGGTGCTCTTCTTGGCTATTATAGGCCCTGCTTTTGCTTTGCTAATACTTTGGGCGATGCGAAGCTGCAGCAAGATAATAGTAATAAAAAGGCAAGAAAAAGAGAGCAAAACAAAATTTTGCTTTATATCGCCTTCTGCTGCTGATGTGCTCTCGGCTCTTTATTTCTTTCTTCTTCTCTCTCTCTCTCTCTGATTGGTGACGTCACCCACGAGCGAACAGATGGCTGAGCTTCGGCTCTCTTCGGTTGTCTTCGCCGTTGTAACGATCTGCCCGCGAATTTTTCACAGATTTTGAATTATTGAGAGAAGGTGTGTGAAGGTCTATACTAAATGCGGCTAACTTTTGAGAATTTTAGGTATAGAAATTTATTTGCATATTTATAACGAGTAACAATGATCTTTTTTTTTTTCAGTCGACGTAACTGTCGAGTTTACTTAAAGTATCAGTCTTTTTTTTGGTGGATACCAAAAGGATATTTCTCGGTGAGACTCGCGAGTCAAATTCTGCCTTCAGGGAGGGCGATAAATTCAATTCCGACAGGTATAAAAATCTATCAAACAATACCAGACTCTCCACCAGCGGAGCTATGAATAATCTCAACGAAGCAAAGATCAAAACCCTCTTCCATTGCTCCAAAAAGCTTTTCACAACGTCGCTTTCTACATCGGCTTTTGTTGGCTGATGTTGCACATCTAAATTTGCTGTGACGCTGCTGCAGTATCTGCAAAAGAAATTTAAATTCTTTCAAACTTACCAATTCAACGTAGAAACGATTTTAATCAGACTTAGAAGACCTACTCTCTAAAAGTGGTGTCCAGCTTGATTTTGGTGCTTTTCAGCTGCGCGTGTCTTAAACTAGGATTTTTCTCAATAAGAAGGCACTCCAACACAGCGCGGTACGCGTGAACCTGTAATGTCAATAAAATGACGATTAAAAACAAATCTTATATACGTTTCACAGGGACGAATACTGGTTTTCTCGCTTACTTTTAAATCGCTGTAGTCGCTCGCCTTCAACTTATCACAGTGTTTTTCAATAGCATGGCAGGCCACTTCCATAGCAGCATACGATAACTCGTAATTGTTGTTCTCCAGTAAGTATTGGCTCATTGGGTACCCCCTATCGGTGTTGTCGCTAAAATTAAAACTAAACTTGAAAGTATTTGAAAAATTAAACACTCTTAGTTATTTTTAACTAGCCTACCCCATGGTCAACTTCATATAGCAACAGCCAACTATGCATATGAACCTGGCTTTTTCTTCTGATGCATAAAACTTGAGAAGTGTAGCGGCCAAGTCACCACAGGGGTGTAGACCAATCAAACCAAAGCCACTATTATCATGGAATTTCTCCACAAAAATTCCAGACAACTGATTTGCCAATTGTTGCCTGGCAGCTCGAGTCACTCCTACTAGGAGGGACACATGCTGGGGCTTCTTTCCGCTAAAATCCGACACATGCTTCGTAATTGACACCTTAAGCTGTTCATCCCATTTCCTAAGCAGTCGAGAAACGCAAAGTATGAATTAACTTGAAAAAAATTTCAATTAGATACTCCGTACGTTCTACATACCTGGCGGTTTCCAACAACGACTCGTTTTGCTCAACACAGACGACACACAGTTGATGCCCATAAGCCAGTGCCCTCGCCAAATGACCCATACCCGCTCCGATGTCGACGATGCACTTGCAGCCCGCCGCATTAGCGCACTTAGCGGCTATCTGAAAATATAATTTGCAAAAGTGAAATCTGCGCGTATACATAATTATATAGTATACTCTGATCATTATCACCTGTGACAAGACGTCGATTTCGTATCTTTTTTTCTTCTTCACGTGCTTGGTGAACAAATTGGCGAATTGTCCTAGAACACCGGCTTTCTTTTCGTCGTCAGTGACCAACTCGTTAACAAAACGTGTGTCATCCGACGAGCATTTGAATTTGGAAGTCCCTTTGTGGTCCCTGGGTATCTCTACGCTCTCTATAAACGCCCTGAGGGCCAGCAACGATAGTGGCCAGACGAGTTTGCTGGATCGAAAAAAATTATTAGTGTTGCGTGAAAATTAAGAAGCATAATCAGCGTATTGAGGACGACTTACCTCCCTGACTCTTTTAGCATCCAATTTCCCAATTCCTCCGGGCTTGCTCCGTCCAAAAAGTTTGTCCAACATTTTGGGACTTTCTGCCACACGTTGTCTTGGAAGAAATCCTATAATCGGACGAAAACTTATTTCAAGTCAATAAAGAATAATATATTCGATCGAAATTCGAAATTGTAGCCCACGCGTCATGTTGTGTGTGTGTTCTACAAGAGATGGCGCACCTATGATTGTAAACAATGGCATTTGGCAATTATGACAAGAACAAAAAAAGAGGAGACCGAGAAATCATTTAAAGGAAACGCGGGCATACTATATATTTAAGTTAAACGAGTACCACAAGTACATTTTTATCTCATTCCACATCTCATGAATATTATTTCTTCTATTTAGGTTTCCTCGCACAAGATACATATATTTTTTTCTGCAGTAGTTATACAATACAGTTGTTAGATGAGAGTAAAGTAATGGTATACCACGACGTAAGCGTCCAGCATCCAGCCGTAGATCTCCAAAACGCGCGTTATCCGATCGATCGTACTGCGAATTTCGGAGCACACGCGACAGCTGCACCACGTGCCAATCTCGCGCGCGGCCATTTTCGGACAGCTGTTTCGGCTTGCGCGCGCCAATCACACCTCCCCATTTGAAATTCAATTCCATTGAATGGGTTTGAAACCAAATAATCTTCTATTGAAATTACCTTCTGGAGATAACAGATTTTCGAGAAGACCCATCAGCAAAATAGTGCAGGTCGCGCCCTACAATTTTTCTGATCTCGGTACTCGGGAGTAGAAAGAAGAAAAATAAAAAAAAAAAAAAAAGGTTCGTGGAAAGAAAGTTTTGCAAAGAACATATACTTTTTAGGCAGAACGAGCGAGTGAAACAAAACGTCGTGCATACACCTGCAACGTAATTGACAAGTCGAAGAGCCGCTCCGCGAGGGAGCAGACAATGGCTAATTGCAGCATTTCGAGCGACCGGACCACCAAGGAGTATACACGTACTATCATCCTCGGCGTGCATCTCCCGTGAAAAGTTTAATCTTCGAGCGAAAAATTGCAAGGTAAAAAAGCGTAGCTCTCTGTCGGAAAACTTCTTAATTGCAAGTCTACCGTCTTACAGAGAGTTCGCTGGCCGCTGTCCACGATGAAACGCTGCACGAGAGGGCATAAAAAAAAAACCAGCAGAGCCCGCGTATATACCCTATCGATTGCTATATGATGGTATACACACTCTCTGACGTACAAAATAATTATGGTATCCCATGTACGATGTACTTATTATATACTTGTGCACCTATAGTCATTTTTTTTAAACACAGCGAACGATTGTACACACATACATATACTTTCACTCTTACGCACAAGCATCCAAGTATATTATATACATTATAACGCGCGTACAGCACCGCATCAGTTACGTTATATAGGATACACGCGCTTTACGATACAATACACTGATACACATGAGTATATGTACTCTTCGTGCTCCCGATCTCTCTCAACTCGATCGTTATATGGGTACATATTTATACACGCGCACATCATCGCCAGAGAGCCCGTCACCTCCTCCTCCTCAGAACGTGTCCGCGCGCGGAACGTTATAATAATATCCTGACCTGGAAAGCTTTCGTCCCGTACATATATCCGCGCGTAACAGCGTGAGAAAAAAAAAATACACACGCACGAGTCGCTTCTCGATTAAAAAGTGAATCCGCACTTTTGGCCGGCTAATGATGTACGCTTTAACAGCCGATCGAGAAATCCCCCAGATTAATCATCCTCCCCTGACGTATTAGTGCGTATGGGTACATCACTTATTGGAGTTGGGTATTGTGAAACCTTACCTAATCGAATCTAGATTTACGCAACATTGGGGGGGGGGGGGCGGAGGGGCAAAAGAAAGAAAGGAAACAATTAAGTAAAACGATTGCGCGTGTATATGCATACTTACTTGTGTTTAGCCTGTGCGCTGTGATATTGCAAAAAAAAAGAGAACCATCGGATGCTCGTTTACGGGAAAAGGTTGCAAACAACAACAACAACCACACGCGAGTGCGAGCACATAATATATACACGTGCACGATATCATCTAGTATATACACATAAAAGAGTATAAATATATAAAGTATAGGGGTACTTTTATACGCGAATACATGGTATATAATATGTTTATAACGTTGCTTGTTTGTCGGTGGTGGTGGTGGGAATCGGGTCTCGGAGGCTAAAATTGCAACGCAACCTCCTCTCCCGACGCTCTCTCGAATCGTATATGGTTATATTCGGCCCATCGGCATTTAGCCGGGCTTTTTGAAGTCGAGAGGAAAGAAAGGGAGAGAAAAAAATCATTACAAGAGCACAACAATATTGAAGCCCTCATCATAGCGCCTCGGCCAATGGAAAGTATAAGTGTATCGTTGGTCAGTCTATTACGTATATACATACACATCATATATTATATACCTGTGCATATTGTACGGATTGTACGTTGTACCGTGCACATATTACTTTCGTCTTCGCATAATTAAGCAGTGCAGTAGAACTTGCGCTGGCGCGTGCGTGTGATTATGTAAAATTTTCTTGCGGATGTTTAAACTTTTTTTTTTTTTTTTTACCAGGGAGTTATGTATCCATTCGCCGTACCTGGCCTTAAACATGTGTATTACCCATATGCGTATATGTGTATACATACATACGGATGCATAAAATATTGTAGAGATGGTACAACTTTTTTAATATACACGAAAACTTTCGCACATTCTCGTCAAGCCTCCGTATATACATTATGGTGTACCGATACTTGTAAAATTTATTGGAGGCACGATCGGGTTATTGATACGACGTTTACGATGGAAATTATGATTTTATCCCAAGTATTTTATGAGCAATCGTTTTTTCTTGGATTTCATGGGAAATCGAACAAAGTTGAAATCTTGCGCTAAAAGTCGCTTTCGTTTATCAGCCAAACATCAAAAATCGTCCAAATTCAAGTATCAAAATATGCATTGTATATGTGTACCACCAAGTTGTACGCTACATTTGGGATTCGGAGCGCATGTGTGTGCAACTGACAACATCTGCAACTTTTTTTTTTTTTTTTTTTTTTTTTTTCTTCATGCGTTTGATTTCTCTGGACGCGTGTGATTTATGGCAGCGCCGTGCAAAACTTTCGAGGAGATCAAAATCCCAGATCGTCTCGTAACATTGTACCCTGCGCATGTAGCGGTCATCGTGTCGCGCGCAGAATAAAAATTAGCCTCCGATGAACGTTGTTTGGGGAAATATTGGCAAGTGTTGCGCATAGTAACACGTATGTTTTACACGGGAAGGAAGTTACGATGTGTTTTTTTTTTTTTTTGTTTTTTTTTTTTTTTTTTTCTTTAGTATCACAAAAACACACAAAGTGGAGTTGTCAAACATGTACTTGTCCTACATATATTTAAACGCATCGTGCAACGCTTACGCAAATAAACTTTCCGCGCAGCTTGATATTATACATATCTACATTATAACGTATAATATATGTTACGCGGACACGCGTCTTTCGGATTATTATTCACGTATGTGTGCCTATACTGTACGTGGAATCCCATTTTCGTAATAATATATGTAACAACAATTTTGTACATGTCTCGTGTGTTGTACACCTATACTCGGGCAAATTGCTTTGCGTCAGTTTTAATGGCCCGACGGTACTGCCATCATACATTATAATACATATACATATAAGTATAAGCGTATTTGCCGCGCTAACGAACAATATTTGTATCGCGTGTGCAATTTTCCGGTCGCGCGGCTAAATTGCCTGAATTTGCCAAACTTTGCCTCCATACATAATATACGGTGTGTTCATTAGCGTAGCGCACCTCGACGGGGAGGGAGGGAATAGCGTCGGCTGGAGTTTTAAATTGCCGGGCGGCGAGAAAATTGAAAATCCCCCGAACGCCTTTTCTTTGTCCCGGCGAATCGTTGCGTGTAATTTTCACTCGCGGATAATTTTCTACGCCAACTATTTTTTCTTCTTCTTCTTCGCCCCAGGTGTCCATCACTTACGGCCAACAAAATCTACATGGAACTCGAGAACGGCCGTTTATGTTTAATTCATTCGAATCCACGGGGATTGACAAAATAACGTAAACACGCGTTGGAACGGATCAATCATCCGTGGATGGGACACAAAAATTAATAAAAGAAACCTAACGGTGATTATAAAATATACGTATACCGATCTCCCGAGATGTGTATACCTATGAGCTGTCGTATACGCTATGTATCAAAGTTATGGATTGGGAAAGGGGAATAATTGTATACACGTGTAACCCAATTCGATGAAAAGAAATAGGTGCGCTCGTAAGACGTGCCATATCGACGGGTATATATCTTCAAATTGAATCAACTCCTCTTGTTGGGCAGAGAGACGCGCTATTTGTCGACGGAGTCCAATTAGCGCGCGGACGGCTGTCAAAGTGGAAAAATCGATAATCCCGGGGAGCGGATGTGCTCGAATAAATTATTGATTTGTTAAAAAGCAATAGTGGAGAATAAAACGAAGTGTACATCTTGAAATGGAGCGAAAAAAACGAGAGAGAGAGAGAAAGGCCATCCAAGACGTGTGGCGAGGTGGCAATGTGTACATATACAAGGAGAGAGAGAGGCGTACGAGTATATAATATGTACAAAAAAAAATGTAGGAAGGGAGCCATCCTTTCGAGGGAACATCGGAACTAGCTTGCGGGCTTCCATCGATGATACACATCACGAAGGATATATTCTTCCCGCTTATACCGTGGCTGTATATGTATATAACTTTTGCCTTTACTGCTCGGCAGAGATCGGAGCAAGTGAAAGTTTTTCCCCCCCGTGTGTCAAGTAGGACGACACGAGCAAAACACACACACACACACTCTCTTTCTCGCCTTTCCTCGGGAGAGAATCTTCCTGGACGCTCGCCAATTGACCATCACTATAATATACAATATATATATATATATATACATCCGATGCGAGCATGTGCTCCGTGCAGGTATTACAAGTGTGTAGGTGCGTGCTCTCGATGTCTTTCGAAACTCATACCGATCGCCTCGTCGGAGGGGGGAAAGATCCGCTTGACGAAATTTTTGCGGACCCTTGCGTATATATGCATCGGAACGATCTCGAGAGATCGGTATTTCGCTGTGCATGTAAAAAACGCAGGCAACTCGCGCGCGACAGTTTCGAGGATGAAAAACGCACGTATTTATAAGCCCATATATATATATACTCGCGGAGCCAAAATTGTAAATTATTAGAAAGTCCAGCTGACGCGTTGGTCGTCGTGTAATCCAACAACCGGCGTTGCGGGATTTTCGCGAGTCACGCATCGCGTCAGTCATCTACTCCCCGGGGGGGGGGGGCGGATATGTATTAATTGAAACATTATACCGGTGAAGAGATCGGGGAACGTGAAAAGAAGAAAAAACTATAGAAAACTTTTTGCCGTAAAACTGCGCGTATGTGTGCACTTTTACGTGTGCCATTGTACTTCAAGTGCAAGTGTACCATACACACGCAGAGATAAGAAAGACCTTCGAAGTGAATGGGTGGGTGCACGGAGGGGG